CTGCGAATGTGCTGACTTGTTTGTTTGATTACAGTAGATACTTCGTCTTGTCCTCGTTTACCACCAGACCCATTCGCTTTTCTTCCTTATCTAACTTGGAAAAGGCAGAACAGACTTCGCAGTTTTTGATACCGATGATATCGATGTCATCGGCATAAGCCAGCAATTGTATGCTCTTGTAGTATATTGCTCCTGAGCGGTTGAGTTCTACTATACATCAGATTAAAGAAGTCACATGAGAGGGAGTCGCCCTGTCTGAAACCCCGTTTGGTGACGAACGCCGCGGAAATGTCTTCCCAATTCTGACGGAGCTGGTGGTATTGCTCAACGTCATTTTACACAGCCGTATCAGTTTGGCGGGGACGCCAAATTCAAACATAGCGGCGTATAGGCAACTCCTTTTAGTGCTGTCGAAAGCGGCTTTAAAGTCGACAAATAGGTGGTGAGTGTCGATCCTCTTCTCTCGGGTCTTTTCCAAGATTTGGTGTATTGTGAATACCCGGTCTATGGTGGATTTGCCAGGCCTAAAGCTACACTGATAAGACCCAATCAGTTCGTCTTTCACACAATACGCTCGATAAGACCTTGTTCCTTGAGTACTTGGGCTTGTTCGAGCTGCAATCACAACCGCATTGTTGCGCGAATTATTAAAGTATCACGTTCTTGGTGGATTTCTAGCAACGTATTATTAGTTGGGCAGTTGCAAGTTTTCATCAGTACGGCAGTAATGCCGCATTTATTAGGTGCCTCGAACAGGCCCCTTATTTTACTGATATTTGTATGGATGTGTGTATTTACATACGAATGTATGATTTCTTGTGTGAGGTACATGACTTAGCCCCCTTTCAGACACGTCAAGTCTTGCTTTCAAGTCTGCTCGTTCGTTGGCGAAGGAGGTGGGAAGAGAGGGGAAGAGTACAGATACCTCCGTACCGTCAATTCGTTTCAAGTTTTCTTGTCTCTTTTGATCTTTTCGTTGCTTCCCATCTAAGAACCAAGGAATTGAATTCAATTAAAGTTGACGCGTGAGGAAGCACAAAAACACAAAAGATAATGCGAAAAAAATTGCTTTCAAGACTTGACGTGTCTGAAAGGGGACTTAAATCCGGTTTTTTAAATCGATCCACGAACACATTCAGAATCAACATCGGCTAGAAGATTTTGGCTGATTTGTGCGCTAATCTCCATTGCAATGCGGAAAGCATTGTTGTCAATTATTTTATTGTTTTTGCGTTTGTCTTTATCTGTAAACTTCTGCGGATGCCCAGTTCTCGACCATCGCATTTGAAATCTTCAAAACTGTCAGCGAAAAATTCAGAAAACTTACCTATTTGCAATTTATTATCAATTGAGTCATAAAAGCGGCGAAATTCATACCAAGTCATAAGTTTTAAGTTTAAAGTTATGCGCCACTTCACTTTCAAAACATCACAAGAAGTTAAGTCTGCTATAAGAAACTTTAATTATTAAGCACTTTTTTCACTATGCTTTGGGTGCTACAACCATTTTTATTTATATTTTTAATTCTTTTCGCATTCACAAGCGTTCAACACAAATTTTAACTTTCAAATGATAATTACGAAATAAAAAGTGCTAAAAAGAAGACTTCTTTGAGATTTCTAACGGCTGGTAAGAAAAAATCAGTAGGCTATGAAATTTTAAAATTTGAACGCAGGTCGATGCGAAGCAACTACCATCGCATGCTATACTCATTTTGCTGTATACATCCAAGCAGCGGTACTTAACATACGCTACCTTTCGATTACAGCAACTGTTAATAATAGCACATATGTGTGAATGTATGTACATAAGAGGCAACTACAAAGCATGGATTTATTGTACAAACCCAAAACAACCACAAAAAGTATACATAGTTGTGCTTGACTTTACGCGCTTATTTTTCATTTGTTAATTTCTTGTCGATTCTGTTTATCTGCTGTTCTCAACCATTTTATGTGAGTATCGGCTGAAAAGGTTGCTTGTGTGCGGAAGAAAGCATACTTACCTGGCGTAGAGGTTACCGTGATCATGAAGGCGGTTCCTCCGGAGCGAGGCTTGGCCATTGCACTTCGGCTGAGTTGACCTTCGCGATTATTCCTAATGCGAATAACTCGTGCGTGTAATTTTTGGTAGCCGGGAATGGCGTTCGCGCCGTCCCGACGTTTATGAATACATTTAAAATTTAAATTATATAGAATTGGTCTTTTTTTTCTTTTGTAGTCACGTTTGCCCTTGTTTTAAAAAATAGCGAAGCGAAACTGGTAAAAACAAGCAGCAGTGTGCAAAAACTCCTCCCTACATCATCACATATCCGTAGAGGGAATTTTTTTTCATAAAATGTTTATTAAATGACTTAAATTTAGTGTGAAATTTTATTCGAAAACTTAGAAAATAACAAATTGTTTGTTTCACTGTTTGCTTAACACTAGTGATAGAACAGAAAAGTAATCGATACTAGACTCATTTATAATACTCTAAAAAAGAATCGATGCCAGTACTCATTCATATTTGCAAAAAAGTATCGATAATACTTGCACTTCCAAATATTTTTAGAGCAAACGCGAAAAGTTAACAAAATCAGATTGCTTTGTTTACTACATATACATTATGACCTCTTTCTTTTTGTACTGCATACTCAAAAAAAATTCTAAATACTCTGAATAAAAAGTTGAAAATCTAGCTGAAAATTTGCAGATTGTTTATAATTTTTGCACAATTTTTGTGGATTTATATTTTGTTTGTTAATGAGCTTGGCTTTTATGGACAAATAATAAACGAAAGAGAAACAGCCAAAATCGATCAAAATGTTGATGACTTAATCAGCTGATCACAAGTATGTATAAAATTGTTTTTATATTAATGACCAGTTTACAATGAATTTTAAATGTGCTCTGACGAAATGAGATATAAAATTTTTCGTTATAACTCGTCCATTTATATAGCTGGGAACAGGAAATTCCGCACTGTTTTCAATAATTATAACTCCTCTATCGATGTATGCAGATGTATTTAAAATCAGTAATCTGTCAAACTAAAATTTGCAGATGTTCATGAAAGGTATGAAGCCTTCGGCATAGCCGAAGACAGCGCTGCTCTTACTTGTTTTTTTTTTTAATTTAGCACGTTTTGCACTAGCAATAGTTGATGATTAATATAAGTACCTTAATACGTTAAAATGACATGCGCAAAGTTTTACAATTACATATATTAAGCAAAAGCCAGGAGTTTTGAAACAAGCTCACAGCAATGAAAGAAATGACTGATATTTTAATGTTATATTGTGCTTAAATATTTTTTTCTTTCATGAAACCCAGAGTACTTATAAGTACAGTGCCGTACAAAATTATTGGCTCGGAGACTCTTTCATCCGATCACAATTTCTTATCAGATCTTTTAGAAAAATTTTGAAAATGTAGCTTTTGGGCCAATAATTAATAAAGTGCAAGTCTGAAGTTACCAGAAAATTTCGTTGATTTTTTGCCATTATTTATTTTTTGCTGACAGTGTCTACCATATAAAAAAAAATTGTCGACATAGTTTGTATGGAAGAAACTCTCAGTAAAAACAATACCAAAAAACTAAATTTTTATGTACTGCAAAACTTCATTTTCAAAATTTTTATAAAAATTCTGATTAGAAAGTTGCAATTTGCATGCAAATTTATTGCATTTTCCGAGTTTTGCACAAAGTTTAGAAATTTTATTTTTATGTTTTTTGGTGTATTTAGTATAAACCGTATTTTTATAAAGGACAAAAAAATGCACATGCGTTGTGAAAAATTCTCTGTGCTTTAGTTGTGATAAGTTGTTTGTTTTGTTGGTGTACGTTGTAATGATCTCATGATCTCATGTTTTTTTGTGTTTTTGTTGTTGTGTGTCAAAATAAGATTTTACTACATCTTTTCGTACGTAATTTTTGTCGAAACGAAAGGGAGGGGAGCGAGCAACTTGAGATCCAATAAACATAATAAAAAAAGGGAGATGTTGGCAGCACGAAAATTGTGAAATGCACAGAAACTAAGGTGGCAACGCTGGGGGATGGAGATTGGACACTTGACTTCCTTCCGGAGTATTGAGCGGCGTAACTTTCTTCATTTATTCATTGTAAAGATATTTCATGTTTTGTTAAATAAATTAAGTATACTGCAAACATAGACATATTTGAGATATTGAAGATCTAATAGTCAAAATGACAATTTTTTTGGGTAAATTGACGATTTTTCAGCGAAAGCTTTCGGCAACGCTGCTTGTGTTGCTATCTTCAAAGTTGAGAACCAGCCAAATTTGCACATAAAGAAAATTCGTCATTAGGTCACGAAAATCGTCAAATCATCATGGCAGTAAAAAATCTTCAAAATTACGACCAGATCGTTAACCTGGCAACACTGACCAGGGTACCCAACTCAGTTTTGAGAATTCCCCGATTTTGCCCGAAATTTCGTAAATTCCCCAACCATAGATATGTATGTATGTATCTCCTTATTGAAAAAATTGTTATGTATTTTGATATATTTCTGGTATTTCTGTTTATTTTATTTTTAAATATGTATACATCAGCCCTGGGCGGCGCCTTCCCGGCGGGCATATCCGCGTATACATACACGCTCTGCTTCCGTAATTAGCCTTCAACAAGCCCTACAAGGTAATATGTAACACTAAAATCCCTGGACTCTTTCAAAATTACATAAAGTTGTCCATAAGAACTACAAAACTCTATTGAGCCAATTATATAATGGGTTTTTAATGGCAACGCATGAGCTGACGTTCTACAAAAACGTGGATCCCAACGGGGTTTATTTGGTCCCAATTGAGTTATATGGCCTTCTGGAGCTCCTAAAGGAAAAAAGCACCTAATAACTTTATAATATCTTCTAAAGGAATTTCGGAAGGATTCCTGATGTTCTGTGACTGGAAAACATTGTGCGATTGTCTATGTACAAAATAGGTCAATGGCTCTCTTACTTCAGGGATCGGTTATCGTCTCCGCCTAGAATCAGTAACATGGCACCCTCTCAAATTCCTAGTTTCATAAATGGCCTAAGGATGTAGTCAAGTTTTATGGGACCAGCTCAGTTGGTCTATATATTTCGATTTTTATACCCGAGCGCACTTCTGCACAAGGGTATTATAACTTTGTTCACATAACAGGCAAAACGAATCGAGATAGATATAGACAAATGTATACATAAATGATCAGAATGAAAAGAGAAATCGATTAAGCGGTGACTGTCTGTCCGTCCGTCCGTCCGTCCGTCCGTCAATGATGGCCGACGCATTGAGAGAACGGTTTTACCCATGATAAAAACATAACAAGGTAAAACCATTGAGAGGCAGTCTGACGCTTGCCAACAATATAATTTTAAAATCAAAACTCAAACTCACACACACATTCTCATTTTCAATCTCAAACAACAACAATTGTGAACAATACCCAACAAGCATTTCAGTAAATGTTTTTAAAAATAACTTAAAGTAAGTTTGCGATAATAAGCGCTAAATAAGCATTTTTAATATAAAGCTTATTAAAAGTTTTTTCAAATAAACCTCTAATAATTTTGAGAGCGAATGTTTATAAATAACTTAAACTTATAAATGAAATGCAAATGCCAACGACATGAAGTAGTAAATATAACATTTTTTCATTCGTAAGTGACGTGTTACGTTTTTTTAAAAAATATTTTTAAAAGTAAAAATTAGATAAAACCGATGCGGTAAAAAAAAAATCCAATCCAGGACCCGCAGCGCTAATCGGTGGAGCATTCGAGTCTTCAAATGATGAGTTCTCCTTATCCGTTCCTAGTTTAACATTCAATTAAAAATTATTCAATTTTTTTCAGAAAAGTTCATCAATGAGAATGGCGGCGATGAAGCGGAATATATACATAGCTGCATCGATGTCGTTTTTCCAATTTGCCAATAACCGCACGTAATTGAAAGCACGCAACAAGATGTAATAATTCACTTTTTTATGCTTAATTTTTGTGTGTTATCGTGAATTTGTAAGCTAAAATGTCTATTCCCTATTTATATTTTCGCGACTGTAGATGAGTCCGCCGAAAATTCGCATTTCGTTTAGTTTCTAGATGTTAAGCAATCTATGTATGAGTTTTTAATGAAATATCTTTAAATAAAGGGTTATAAAAATGTTTATAAATAGCTTTCTTTTTAAAATTTTTAGTAAGTTTATATTCACACGATTATAAACAACTTTTTTTTAACCTTTATTATAAGTTTACACTTTTACGCTTATAAAAAGCTTACTTTTGGACATTTATTACAAGTTTATATTACTAATCTTATAACCAATGTTCCTTTTCGATTATATTACGCTTACTTTCAAGCGTTTTATAAACAAAAAATCAACGTTTTGTAAGCTTAATGTTTATAATTGAAAACTTAAAAAAACTTTCTTTAAGTTTAGTTTGCTTGTTGGGATTTAATTTTATTATTTTCAATTTTATATGATTTTAAAATGTTGGCAAACGTCAGAACAAAATCATGGCCGACGAATTGAGAGAATGAATTTACCTTGTAATGTTTTTATCATGGTTTTACCTTACTATGCTTTTATCTTAATTAAAAATTTTTTGCTTCAAAAGATATTTATTCTTTGGACACAGATGACTTAAATATGATACAAACCAAGTGTACGCGCATTTTTTTTGGATTCTTGGACAAAGGCTGGTTGAAAGAAAAAAGTTGGCGACTTTTTTAAGACTTCATTGAAAGTGTAATGAATGCAAAAAAGCTGAAATTTTGCTATACTCCTTCTTAGCAGAAGTAATTTAGTATTTTCGACAACCGACCCCCTAACCAAATGTCTACAAGAAAAAAAAATTATTAAAAATCAACGCGATTATGTAGCCGCTTTAAACTTGAAATTTAGTGGGCTATCAAACTGCATACTTAAAAAAATTCTAAAAAATCTGAATAAAAAGTTGAAAATATAGCTAAAATTTGCAGATTTTTTATCATTTTTGCACAAGTGAAATGAAATGTGGATTTATATTTTGTTTGTTATAAAATGAGCTTGGCTTTTATGGAAAAATAATAAACATTAAATAAACAATCGAAAAACAGCCAAAATCGATCAAAATGTTGATGACTTAATCAGCTGATCACAAGTGTATGTATAAAATCATTTTTTATTAACGATCTCAAACCAGTTTACAATGCATTCTAAATGTGCTCTGTCGAAATGAGATTTTAATATACCTTACGTACATATGTACCTTTGTATACAATGAAAGTTTAATAAGAACAGTTATTGTACATTCATTTCAAAAATACGTTTTTGGGTAGGAAATGACGTTTTTTTCGGACCAAGAGGGACGTTTTCTCATGCAGAAGACCTGGCAACACTGCTCCTATGCACGCTCATCCATGCTCAAAGGTCTGATTATGCATACTTCGCATAACCTCGCACAACCATTTGTACCAGTGCAATAAAAATGCAACTTAAGAAAATGTGAAGCAAAATCTAAACTCAACAGATTTCTAAGTTTTTGAGTGTTCTGCTAATTTCTGGGTAATGGAATACAAACAAAATACGTGCGAAGTAGGGATGGCAAAGTCGACTTCGACTTTCGACCAAAATCTACTTTTTACTCCTAAAAGTCGAATTTTAGTGATCGACTTTCAGTTTATGGAAGTCGACTGAAGTCGACTTTTCACTTTCCCTCTCGACTTTTTTTAAATTTATTTGCCAATAAAAACTGATCTTCTAACAAGCGCGCGGAGTGCTGTTTGGTCGTATTTAAAAAAAAAAATTGTCAATAAAACTGAAGTGAAATGTGAAAAGTGTGGTAGCGAAATGAATTTTAAAGATAGTACAACAGTACAAATCATTTAAGAGCAGCGCATAAAATTACTATACGAAAACAAATTCCTCAAATTTGGTAATCGTTTGTCTCCACAATCTTCAATTAATAATGAGGTAAGATAAACATATTATATTATTATTATATTTATTTTAACAATTTCATGCAAGAAAGTTTTTCTGCTTGAGTTTATGTAAGTTTTTAAAGACAGTCTTTGGTTCGAATTTGACCAATCCGTAAGGTACAAAACTTTAAACACCGCTAAAAACGTTGCTGGTAGGATTCCAGTTAATATGCGACATAGTCGTGTGGATAGTCCCAATCCACTAGATGTCTGGGCTACTCCCATATTTATCCATGCTTATAAAGTGGCACTTATATTTATATTTCTACCAATACCCGCCAATTCTGCTCCATCGGAAAGGCCACATTTTTCAAAAAGTTGTCCGTAATTACCATATATCGATTCAAAAAATTTTTAGAGTTTTTTTTGTGAGAATTTATATTTTTTTTTCAAAAATAAGCATTTTCATGCTGCATAACTGGAACGATTTTCAAAATTTTTAAAAATCCTTTAGTGTCTGTTTTTTTTTCTTTACCTAGCATTGAATTTCACTAAATTACAGATTATTCTTAGGGACACGAATTTCGATACGATACGATACCATATCGATACTTTTGGCATTCGATACCGATATTTTCTACTCGATAGTTTTAAAACGATCTTTTTTGGAATCGAGTACCAGAACCCTAGTATCGTATCGAATGACATAAACTCACATTACAAGGATAATGTTATTAACAATTCTTCCCGATATAAATTGGACTTTAAAGAGTAGAAATTTGTAATATAGTTAGGATTGCATGTGGTGCAATTTGAACCCGCGGCCTCGGTGTTTTAAGTCAACACCTCAATCTCTACGTGTTGTTACACAATATGTTAGTGTTTGACCGAGATTCTCCTCCGATTTGTCGCGCGCGCCTTAATGTTGTGGCACAAAAGGGGTCCCTACAGTTTTAGGTCGACTCTGAACGGCGATTATGTCTTACTGGGAAGCTGTTTTCATTTTCAAGCTTTGCGCACTTCTAACCATTACACCACAGCGGCCTATATACGAGACCTATATTCAGATAAATTTTTTTGATTTTGGTATCGATATTTGGAATATCGAGTCTTTTTATTCCGATATTAATGGGTACCCGATATTTTTAAGGCGATACTTTAAATGAGTACCATATCGATACTTTCTGTTCGATATCGAGTTCCTAATTATTCTAAAGACCACTAGTAAATCATGATATTTTTGGCGTATTCTGAATCATATGTTTATAGCTAATATATGAGTTAAAGTTAAATGCAGAGTATACTTAATACATTTTCTTTTTATTAAAAAAGTCGAACAAACAGGCTAACCTAATATTCGCGGCTTGCGTTTTGGTACGCACGCCGTCGAATATGTTTTTTTGCGTCACCCGAAATTGGCTTGCGTGCGTTTGCATTTGATTTCATTGAGCGAAACGTCAAATCAAAATGTCACGCAGAACAAAAATTGGAAATTGAGTTAGCTTCATACGCACGCCGTTCAATTTCGGTTGGTCCCATACAAGTTGTATGTGCATGAGAAATTTTTGACAGTAAATTGACGGTGCGTGAATATTAAGGTTAGCCTGAAGAAAGTCGACTTTTAAAGTTGACTGTACAGTACAGAGTAGGGATGGGTAGTGGGGGGTTGAAATTCGATTTTTTCCGAATTTCGAACATTGCCCAACCATTCGATTATTCGATTCGAAATTCGGTGGTGCAAATTCGATTTACTTCGGATTT